CCTACACCTACCCTACCCGATACTTTATTTTCAACTTTTTGATTATTTCCTTAATTTTTATTGAAAATAAATGCCTTTACGATGTGATACGAGATTTGAAAAGGGAGAAAAAAAAAATCGGCAAAAGGCGTGATCGAGCCCGGGTCGATTGCGTCAAAATGCCAACGACTAACGCTTATCCATCTGTGCCACTGGAGCTGATGTTCTACAGTCACTTTTAACCAAATGTAAATATACACTCCGTATTTTTTGATTGACAGATGTCTCGTCCAGTCAGCGTTGAGTAATCCCAAACCAATGGCGCTGTCTCAAACTATACCTACCTTTTCCGGTTTGTCTGATTTGTCATTGTGTTTTCTGACTTGTTATAATGTTTTCTGAATTGTTGTTGTGCTTTCTGAATTGTTATTTTGTTTTTTAGACTTGCATTTGCATTTGTAATTTGTTATTTTGTTTTCAGAATTGTGATTTGCTTTGCACTTCTCGGCCACCGTAGGTTGCCGCTCCTGAATCCACGTCATGGATAAGTGCGTGTCGTTGGCTTTTTGACGTGATTGACCCGGCTTTAGCCGAACTCTTCTTTCCTCCCTTTTCAAATCTCGTATTAGCAAGAAATTATATTTACACTAAGTGAAAATAACAGTATTTTTTAGCAATATGCTATTTACACTAAGTGCAAATACCTAGTTACACTATGTTAAAATAGCAGGATTTCTACTATCAAGTATACTACTTGTTGCAAATAGTGGCAATTATCTGCACTTCAGTATTGTAGTACATTATAAAACAGTATGCAATAATAATGTATTGAGTGTAAATTATAATTTTAATTATTAAATGGATGCCACCTTATTGGTACAATAAAGCCCTTCCTACACCTACCCTTACCCTACCTGATACTTTATTTTCAACTTTTTGATTATTTCCTTAATTTTTATTGAAAATAAATGCCTTTACGATGTGATAGGAGATTTGAAAAGGGAGAAAAAAAAAATCGGCAAAAGGCGTGATCGAGCCCGGGTTGATTGCGTCAAAATGCCAACGACTAACGCTTATCCATCTGTGCCACTGGAGCTGATGTTCTACAGTCACTTTTAACCAAATGTAAATATACACTCCGTATTTTTTGATTGACAGATGTCTCGTCCAGTCAGCGTTGAGTAATCCCAAACCAATGGCGCTGTCTCAAACTATACCTACCTTTTCCGGTTTGTCTGATTTGTCATTGTGTTTTCTGACTTGTTATAATGTTTTCTGAATTGTTGTTGTGCTTTCTGAATTGTTATTTTGTTTTTTAGACTTGCATTTGCATTTGTAATTTGTTATTTTGTTTTCAGAATTGTGATTTGCTTTGCACTTCTCGGCCACCGTAGGTTGCCGCTCCTGAATCCACGTCACCTCTGCTGCTCACACAGACAGACACAGACAGTCAATGAGCTCAGAGGAAATCCAGCAGAAAACAGCTTCAGTCCACATTACCTGCTGTAATAGCCGTTTCCCTCCAGCTCATCCTCCACCACACTCTGAAACATTACATTATATGACATACTTCAGAAAATATTGCATTCACAACATTTTTGTCTGTGAGTTGCACTAAATTTTACAATGAAAAACTAACAATTTATTCATACATTTTCCAGATGTTTCATAATTTTTCCTTTCAATAAATATTTTTTAAGTAAGCATGTTTTTTTATGCATATTAATTTAACTGATAATCAACTCTTCACGTGTCCTCAATATTTTTTATTGATTTTAAAGAATTACAAATACAGCAAGGGGGTACATAACGAAACGTATAATAATAAATAAAAATAATAATTATTATTATTATTAATAATAATAATAACAAATCAAAAGTTAGAAATAAGGTTTAATAAAAAAACATTAAATTTTTACAAGTAGTAACATTTCACAGATTTTGACAGAAACAAGACATTGACTTTAAAATTAAAAACAAAATGTTATTTTCCCTATATTTACAATTATAGTCACTTTAGCTAACAGAAGTAGCAGATTAATTAAATAATATTCCCTATGATTTTAATTTATTTTAACAAAAGTCACTTCTTTACTGACGTCATCCTCCAGGAAGTGACATTATAATTCAAATGTTTCAAACTAGGCATGTTTTCTTGGCCATTATAATTGAACTGTTAATCAACTTTCATGTGTCCTTAGTACCATTGTCATTCTGGTCTTTTTAATTTGTTTTAACTAATAAAGGTCATTTATGAATGACATCATCCTTCAGTAAGTAAGATCATTTTGGAGGGAAAACAGCAGCACAAATGTCAGTAAGTATCATTACTGCATCTGATTAATTGTTCAAATGACAGAAATCAGTATTAAAATGATTCATGCAATAATTCATGAAAGTTCAAAATGTACTACATAACAAAAACGTTGAATAAATATCCCACCTGTATGTCCTCATAGGTGAAGACTGGTGTAACCTGTTTCCCCTACAAAATAATTTAAGACAAATTCAGTGGCTTTTGTAAAGCTTTAAAATGAAACCAAGGATACAAATGAATACATTTTCCACTGAAGTTCACTATAATGACCACAAGATGGAGCTGTTGCACCTTTTCCACCATTAACCCTGTAAAGCCTGACATATGAAACAATAGTCAGATTAGATTTTTTTTTTTTTTATGGAAACTTCAGATAACATTTTAAAATATCCAAAAAATAATACTAATAATATTTGATACATCAGGTTTTTATGGCTCAGTTATGATGAAGTGAGAATATGGAGCTCATACGTAAAAAGGAAAAACAGCCCAACGTAGGCCCAAACTGAGCAAAAAAAAAAAGACCAAAAATGAAGATTTGGTACTGTAACTGAAGCTATGGCTTTTGCATGATGGGGCTTCCATGCCAATCAAAAAATGATTGTTGTTGCATTAAACAGAGAGAGTACCTTATTGAGCTCCACCTTCAGATTGTATGGATCACTTCCGTACGTGAACAGAGGTTTCTTGAAGTGTCCGACTGCCCGCTGCTTGAAGCTGTTTTGTGGAGCTGGAGGGAGCTAAAAACATCAAATGTGACCCTGGAGCACAAAAGCAGTGTTAAGTCGCTGGGGGATATTTGTAGCAATAGCCAAAAATACATTGTATGGGTCAAAATTATCGATTTTTCTTTTATGCTAAAAATCATTAGGATATTAAACAAAGATCATGTTCTATGAAGATATACATTTTCTTGCTGTAAATATATCAAAACTTAATTTTTGATTAGTAATATGCATTGCTAAGAACTTCATTTGGACAACTTTAAAGATGATTTTCTCAATATTTAGATTTTTTTGCACCCTCAGATTCCAGATTTTCAAATAGTTGTATCTCGGTCAAATATTGTCCTATCATAACAAACCATGCATCAATGGAAAGCTTATTTATTAATTAAAAAAATTGACCCTTATGACTGGTTTTGTGGTCCAGGGTCACA